TGTACAAGTACTTTAATGCAATGGAAGGACCAACATTGTACAAGTACTTTAATGCAATGTTGGTCCTTTCCAACTCTCACTTCTAAATAAGGAGATATATATATTGTCTCTTCTTAGAACATTTTGTATTTTGTTATCACATGTTCAACATGTATCTCGTGACTATGAATTGAATTAGTATTTAGAACGTAAATTTCACAAAAAATTGAAAATATATGAGTGAAAAAAATATTTGGTTACCCAATTAAAATACTCCTCTCTTTTTTATTTTAAAATTAGAGGGAAGGAAAGAAGATTATAAGATGGTAGAAGTATTAAATCTTTACTAACAGGATGAAAGTTTAAAGTAGTCAATCAATAGGGTTGCAAAAATTTGCGCGAAGCCCTATATTTTGGGGTAGTATTTAATTTTGGGGAAATTATTGAATAAGGCAAAAAGGCCAACATATTTAATTTGTAGAAAACAGCTATAGTTTTTTTAAAAATTACAAAAAATCACTATATGTTATTTTTATAGCAAACTCTTTCATATGTAAATTTGTGTCACATTATCTTTAAGAACTTTACTCCTACGTAACAACATTAATTAGTTAATTATTTAAGTATTTATTTAGATACTAAAGAATAATTTTAGACATAAAATTCCTAAATAGACATATAAAATAACACCAAACATATAAATAAAAACATTTAACATAATTATTTTCAACGATAGGTAGCTTACATAAAAAGAGTCACACACATAAAATCCACATGATAAAAGAGCAATGAAAATAGGAAATAAAACAATGAAATTTTCATTCATATTCATATGATATATGATGATGCTTAGATCTTCTTGAATTTCACAAGACAATTTCTCGGAGGTTCGATTTTGCTCTCTGGATTAACTTGCTCCACCCTACATCATATAATAATAATAGCTATTAAATCTATGAATCAATTTTTTACGTAATATGGTTAAGACTAAAAGATTAATTAAGGGTGTACATAAGTTGTTTTTTTCAAAAAATTTATCCAACCGAATATGGAAAAATATAAGAAATATTTTCCAAAAAATACTTTCCTCCATATTCTACATATCATCATTTGTTTAAGATCAGAAGGTTCAAAGATATTCTTTACTTTCTTAAATTCCGTGTCAAATCAAACTCAGACAAACAAATTAAAACGAAAAGAACAGTAAGGATCAATACCTGTAGTTAAGAAGAAAGTAATGAAGAATTACAGAAACCTCAAGCCTAGCCAAATTGGCTCCTGGGCACATTTTGGGGCCAACTCCAAAGGGAAGAAAGGAGGCTGGCTTGGTTTTAAGATCCTATAATTTACGCAATTTCGTATAATTAATACATATATAAGTTATGCAAGATAAAAGATTACGTACTTGAATAACTAAATTTTACCTAACAATTACGGTATAATAGTACTAACAAATGCATAACTTTAACCAGTAACTCATAAGTAGAGAATATGTCACTTACATCCCATCTAGAAGGATTAAATTCCTTAGGTCTCACATAAGTACGAGGGTCCATATGATAATTCCATGAAAATGACAAAAACTTCCACCCCTTAGGTATGGTATACCCTGCATAAAATTTTATAATAAACTTTTTAATACGCATGAAATTGAGTAACTATGCGAGAAATCAAATCCAAGTTAAAAGAGATACTAACCATTTATGTTAATAGTATTTCTTGCCTCTCTAAAGAATATTGTTTTGGCAGTAGCAATACGCAATGATTCATTAATTACCTTTCAAATTTGAAAAACAAAAGATAGTATATAAGAATATTTAATGCATGATAGTCCAAAAATAAAATTAAAAAATTATTTAAATCTTACATTACTAAGATACTTCATCTCTTTAATTTCATGGAAATTAAGGGCTTCATTTGGAGATGATCTTCTCTTTACTATATCCTCTTGTTCCTCCTACAAAGAGACGATTTGTCATCAACTAATATTTATGTCCTTCAAGTAGTAAATTAAACAAGTAGACACATCGTCCTACGTGAAATAATATGTCACATGGGACATAGAATGGTCACGTAGGATGTCAGATAGACGTATGTATATGTCTACATGTTTAAAAGGCGTAAATACAAGCTGAAGCTAAATTAAGAGACACGTTTATGTATTATACGATAAATAAAAGTAATGATGATGAGTAGGTATACTTTAGCTTTATCCAAGAAGTGAGGATGTTTTTCCAAATACATAATTGCAGTTGATGCTACCAAAGCAACAGACTCAAAACCAGCAAATGTATAAGAAACAAGCATTGCAATGATCTTCTCATCATTGAAACCTCCATCACCATCTTGAGTGTTTAACATCATATCTAGTAAAATATTGGACTTTTCTCTTGTTTTGTTTTTCCCAATCATCACTTTTCTTTCATCTAAAATATATTGATATATCTTAGCCATTGCTCTTCTAGCCTGAAAAAATTAAAAGTAAATTCAAAGCAAAGAAACAAGTATAAAGGTTTAATCTCTTGAGTTTGTCGGATTAAACATCTGAACACATGATAAAGTGATTCCATTAGACATTTTTCGGTTCAAATTTTGGAAAAACTTTTGTGCATATCCTAATTAAAATATGTCACTTTCTTAGGTCAACAAAAATTGTAAAATCTCAACCATGTTTCAAATGATGACGATTAAAAAAATAAAATGACATATTTTATTATGTGGTTGACTGAATTACCTAATAGACAGTACTTGAGAAAAGTTTTTCAAAAATTTGAACTTGAAGTGTTCTTTTTAGACACTTTACCATGTTTACAAATTCCGAACTAGAGCATAACTGAATTCGAGTGTCTAGATGAAATTTACCTTCAATCCCCTATTGTAAGCTGA